CAAATAATTGTCCAGATATTTACAAATTACACATCCTCTATGCCCTTGTGAGGTGAGGGTGTTTCAGTCCATGGGGTTGGTTTTTTTTTTTTTTGCTTCTGCCAAGAATTTAAGGAGATCAGGACGAGTTTTCGAGTTTTCGAGGGCAGTGATGGGGTTTGCAAGCACAGGGATTACCCAGAGGGAGTCAGGAGGGATTTGCAAAGGCTCCTGCTGCCTGGGGAGGGTGCTGGGCTGCCTGGGGTTGTTTATCCTTTGTCACACATCTTATCTGTCTCAGGGCTCCCTGCCTTGTGTGACTGATAACCTTGGAGCAGGGGGGAGTGACCGACAGATGGGCAGCCCCTGCATAACACTGGGATTGTCTGCAGTACCCAGTGTCAGCACGGGAACAATGACAGAGTTATTGGCCAAATATCCCTGCAAAAAGGTCCCTGTTGGCTCCTTTGCAAGCTGCTCCTCGGAGGTGGTGCAGAGTTTCTTTGCTCTGATGTGAAATACCTTCTGTCTCCAGGATCTCTCTCTGCATTTCATCACACTGAAAGCAGGAGCTGCATTATTTTACTTTGACCAAGAACAGCACCGGGAAAAAATTAAAAACTCACAGTGATCAGTTGTCAGAATTTATTCTGACATCAAATTGAATGTCCTGGGGTCTGGCATGCTTTGTTTGAATGGGTGTTGTCCTGGATTCTCCAGTATTAATCATCCATGTGCTTGTCTGCAATTTGGACACAGTATTGCTGGTGTTATTTGTATTTTTCCAGGTCAGATTTTCCCCAGTCTGGGCAGTTTTGTGGCTACTCCTTCATGGTCACTGTCACTTTGCATCACAGCCAGGCACACGTTTGCAGGGAAGGACTGCAAATGTTTCTCAAGAGCAAAGCAACACACAAACTCCTGTGCATCCCTAAATGAGCCCTGAGAACTGAAACCAAAGCTGAAATTTGCAGCTCCCAAAAAGAACTCATTTAACACGTAGAGCAATCAACTTTTGGATTTTTTTTTTTTTTTTTTTTTTTTGTAAAGGATCACTAGTGATGTTTAGTTAGTTGTGGAAGGGACAGGGACTTTCCTCATCATGTTAATCATAAAATGGTTTATTTAAATGGATCCATGTTTTAGCCCCCAGCCCTTTTATGAGCCCTTTCAGGTCCTGCCTCATGAGGCTGTAAAACATTGAAATATTCATGAATGAAAGCCCATCAGGAGTCTTCCTTTGGGCACAGCTATGTCAAGAAGTTGAAGTGTTTGCCCAAGTCCTTCTGCCTTTTCCAGCAGCCTGCCAGAAGTGAATTCCTCAGGTGTGTTCACCAAACAGCTTTAGCACCCAGAGTGCATTTGCAGAGCCCAGGTGTGGGGGGCTGGCTGCTTGCCATTTGTTTTTCCCCAGTTATTATGCTCTTAAGTGATCAGAAATCTTGATCCACGGCAGGTTCTGCACTGGTGATTTCTGATCAGGGTGAGAACAGAGGTTTCCTAGAGGAGCCCCTGATTAAATTAGAGCATAGTCACTCAGTGTTGGTAATGGGCTGAGCACACACCCCTAGAAATAGTTTTTCTTTGAAATTTGGGGCAAGGGAGAGAGGTAAACTTGACACTTTTGAATATGCTCATTACAGGAAATTTTAAGCTGCCCTGACACACCAAAGGTGCAGTGCATTTATTAACAGCAAATTGCACAAGGATGGGAGGCACACAAACAAGTGTATTTGGGGTTTTATGATTTAATAGGAGTGCTGTGGGTTGGGGACAAGGTGAGGATTGGTGAAAGGTTGGGCTCCGTGATCTTGGAGCTCTTTTTAACTTAATTGATTCTGTTCTATGATTTAGCCTCAGCATTGTGCATCTCCACTAAAACCAGCTTTTTAAAAACCATTCTGATACTGCATCCATAGCAGCACCCACAGCTCAGCTCTCCAAGGCTGTTGGGCTTTTTCCAGCAGCTGGCTTTGAATCCTGGAGTGATCTGCAGAGTCATTATTCATGGCTATTCACAGTTCACAAGTTCAAGAGACACAAAAAAAGTCCAGGGTATGGAATCAAAGATTAATTGTTGCCAGTTTCCAAGGAAAGGAAGGAGAAAGAAAAAGAGAAAAAGGGATAAGAATGCAAAACCAGTTGTTTGAAAGCAGAATGGAGGATCTCAGAGGAAAACTATTGTTTCTGGAGCTGCTGAAAGTGTTCCTGTGTGTACAAGTGAGTCAGGAACATTGTTTCCAGCATCTGGAAAGCTGGGAGAGCAGCACAGCCATTACCTAACAAATGCCAACCCAGTTCCTCAAAACCTTTGGAATTTTGCCATTTTGAATTTCATTTGGTGATGATGCTTAAAATTTTCAAGAGCTTTCAGGTCTGGATCCAGCTACAGTACTGAGTTAAGAAACTTAACCAGAATCAGCTGTGCAAAACAGTCCTTTTGTGTATTAAAAAACAAAAAAAGGGACAGAAATATTCTCTCTCCTTCCTGGCCTTAATTGGGATCCTGCCCATGGAACCATATATATTCTAAGTATCTTAGAAAAATCAATATCTGCACAGTAACTGAATTTGTAATTATTGTAATTGCACATATCAATAAGTCCCCTTGTCTTTTCTGTGTGCCAGTCTCTGCTGAGAGCAAGGAGTCTAAACCTTAAAGACCAAACAGGGCCATGAACTGAGCTGTGCAGAAACGTGAGGAAACAGAATTTGATGAATGTTAAGAAATTAAGGGAAGTGTCCATAGTTTGTAGCTCATAGTGAGATGTTGCAGGAGGAGGGACACACACAACCCTCAAGGTGGAAAGTCAATCACTGGATACTTAATTACAGGACTATTGAGGTTGGAAAAATCCTCTGAGATCGAGTCCCAGCTGTGCCTGGTCCCCACCTTGTCCCCAGCCCAGAGCACTGAGTGCCACATCCAGCCCTTCCTTGGGCACCTGCAGGGATGGGGACTCCAAACCTCCTGGGCAGCCCCTGCCAATGTTTAACAACCCTTTAATTGAATATATTCCTGCTGCTGCCCAAGCTGAGCCTGCCCTGGCCCAGCCTGAGGCCGTTCCCTCTGCTCCTGTCCCTGTGCCCTGGGAGCAGAGCCCGACCCCCCCGGCTGTGCCCTCCTGGCAGGGACTTGTGCAGAGCCACAAGGGCCCCTGAGCCTCCTTTGCTCCAGCCCCAGCCCCTGCCCAGCTCCCTCAGCCCCTCCTGGGGCTCCAGCCCCTGCCCAGCTCCGTTCCCTGCCCTGGACACGCTCCAGCCCCTCCAGGGCTCTCCTGCACTGAGGGACCCAAACCTGGGCACAGCCCCTGAGGTGTGTCCTCAGCAGGGCCAGCACAGAGGGACAGTCCCTGCCCAGTATGATCTGCATATTTCTTCAAGACTTCCAAAAATCTAACTTGAGAAATCCTTGGATCTTAGCAAAATTATCTAAATGAATTTTTATTGCCACAGTCACATTTAGTGTATGCTTCAGTTTGTATTTAGGATTCAGGATCAAGTTAATGAAAAATGTGCAAGGAATAATTTTCAGGAGTTGGTCCAAGGGCCTCAGCTCCTGCTTTGTGCCAGTGGTGACACCAAAGTCCAACAGAGAAGGGAAATACCCACAGATGTTCCCTGATTACTTCACAAGCCCTAGATCACAGCTCAGTTGCATCAGGAAGAAAAACCAAACTTCACCTGCACAGGTCACATTGCTTTCAGATTTTAGGAGGGTAGCAAAATTGATTTTTAATTCTGTTTTAAATACACAACAGATGTAATCCCACATAACTCACACACTCTGAACTTGCATGAATTTATAAATGGATAAATAAATACCTAATGTGTCCCAGCCATGTTGTTGGGTTGTTTTTGCAGAATCCTCATTTCACACTGTGTGTGTAGTTTATTTTCCTTTGCTTTAGCTTTGAGGATATTGCTCTGGTTTTTATGAACCGAGTTATTTAGGAACAGCCCTAAGCTGCAGACTAAAGGGCTTTGTAAACTGATGCTCCACAAAGCAAACCAGCTCACCAGTTATTTACAACTATTTACTTCTGATTCCTGTAATGGCTTCTTGAAGAGGGGATTTATCTCTCAGGGGAATTTGAAACCATCCAACTAAAAATACTCAATATGGGACCTAATTTAGTTGACATAATCATATAATCACAGAATGGTTTGGGTTGGAAGGGACCTTAATCCAATTCCAACTTCCCTCACATGGGCAGGGACATCTTCCACCATCCCAGGCTGCTCCAGCCCCAGTGTCCAGCCTGGCCTTGGGCACTGCCAGGGATGCAGGGGCAGCCCCAGCTGCTCTGGGCACCTGTGCCAGGGCCTGCCCACCCTCACAGGGAAGAATCTTCTCTAGGATCTAATCTAACCCCACTCCCTCTCAGTCTGAAGCCATTCCCCTTTGTACTTTTCAGGTGGGGGATTTTTTTGTTTGTTAGTTTGTTTATTCATTTCAGATTAAGGAAAAAATTGCTGCCTGGCAGCAGCGGATTTAAAATTATTTCCAGTTATATCACCAGGAGTTATTGTCACTACTCTCAGACACCCTTCTAATGCCAGACAAGGAAATGATAAATACTCTGTCTGCAACACAAACTACTTGTCTATCCACAGATTAACCCTCTAACCACAAACATGATCCAAAATCTGCTCTCTTCCCTCTGGAGGCACTCGTGGGTGTCACCATGCCAGATGCTGGGGAAGAGACAGCAGGAATAAATAATGCTCCAGCAGGAATAAATGATGCTCCAGTACTCAACAAAAGTAAATCCAAAACTACCTAAATCTGATTTAATCTCTGCTGAGCAGAATTTGCTGGATATGGAATGAGTTTGAGATTCTTAGTTGAGAAGAATCTTGTAATAAAGGAGCTGCTCATTTCCTGAAGACTTCTGATTTGGTAGAACATGGTAATTTTAGAGATGTGTTTCAATCTGGCTAAACAAGTTAACACATGGGATTTGCAGGGAGGAAGTGTTTTCAAATAAGTCACTACCATATATGCTTGGAACCATTACTTGAAGTTTGATGTCCATGCCATTTTAATTAATAATTTCGAAACAACAACAAAAAGAAAACCCCACCCAAAGTCACAAACATTGTGGACTATTTACCTGCTAATTCTTTCTTTCATCCAAGCTGCTCCTGCATTACAAAAGAGTAATAAAAATCCCCACACTGGTAAGAACTAGTAAACATTTTTCTTCATTTGCATAAACAAATAACCCCAAACAAATACAAGGGCCAAGGACTTTCCCTGGCCAAGAACTGGTTAAATAGTTTGAAACTATGCTCAAGATTTCCTGAAAACGTATTTGTCTTTCAGCCAAACAATACTGTTAAAGCAATGTAAATGCTTTGCTTCCAAAATGTGCTTTTTCTGTTCACAGAGAGCAGCAGTGTAAAAATAAATCATCCATGAAGCATATTCTCATTTTTAATTTCATCCCTTGATAGATCAGTTGCTCCAAAATCCCTTAACAACCAAAGAGAGAAAAGTTACAGGGTTCACATTTTAAAGATTGTCAATTGTACAGACCCAGTGCTGCAATCCTTGGGCAGGTCATGGGCAGCTTCTGTCACCACCTGAAACACTGGATTTTATTAACACCAACTATGAGTCCTTATGGGTGTCTACAAGGTTGGAAAGGCATTTCCCTGCCTTCTCACACCTTGCTTTTCTCTGGCAAAACACTGTGATCACTCAGCAGGTCCTAAAGAACTAAGACACAGAAAAGGAATGGATTTTGTATTTCCAGGTGACGGGAATGAACAAATTACCTGATTTGGGCAACCACCAAAAAAACACATCAGTGCCAATTTCACTGCACTTTGCACTGCACCATCAGGCTCTTGTAGGACTTGAAAATTAAACAACCCAGAAGGTCTTTGAAGGAGCTGAGCATGCCAAGGGCAGGGGAGGGGAGGAAGGAATCCATGCTGAGTTTGAGTTTGGCAAAATGAAGCTGCTTTTGTCCTCAGCAGAGGCAAGAGCAAAGTGCATCCAGCTGCTGGTTGGGTGGTTTGCACATCACAGTCACACGTGCATGTTCATGGATCTGCTGTTTTCAGGAGGTGGTGAGAGCTTGAATTTATTATTAGGAAACCAAAACATTTCATTTAATTGTTTAACATGCGAGATTTTCATGAGGGAATGAAGGTTAGTTACATTTCCAACAGGATTTCAAAACTACATTTTGCCTGTTCAACTCCAAGCCAAATGTAAGGCTGAAAGGTTGAAGAGACTAATCAAAGGAACAGAAGTCAGAAAGACAATAACAATACAGTACCTAAATATGGGTAATTCACACATTTTTGACATTTGTGTCTTGCATAGACAAACACTTATTCATTTTTTTTTCTCCCAAGATGACTCAGCTTCAGAAAATAAAATGTCAAATCAACTTTAATTACAATTAAATGCATGTGTTCCAATTTTTCAAAACACCAGGGTGTTGTGGATTTTTGTTTGTTTAAGTGCAACTATCATCCCTTGGAAAGGCTTTGCCAAGTTCCTAAAGTCAGGAAGGTGGACTTGTGATTCTTCCAGAAACAAATCCATGGATTATTTCACAGAACTGAGTGGAAGGGACCCACAAGGAGTCCAGCTCCCCAGGGAATGGCCCAAGTGGGGATCAGAGCTGTGCCCTGGCTGTCACTGGCACCAATCTCAGACCAACTGAGCCAAGCTCAGGCCAGGAGCTGGGCTTTGAGCCACGTGTGCTCCTATTCCACTCCAATATCCACGGACCTAAAGCTACTTTGGAAGCACAGGAACTGGGAACTGCAATTCCTCACTCAGCTCTGCCTCCTGGCTGCATCTTGAACATCAAAAAACAATTTATTTGTTGCACCCCAGGTCACCATGAAATCCTGCCCTGCCAAGCTCTTCATCCATCCCCAGGTTTCCACTGGAAAAGACCCAGGTGTGCAGCAAGGTAGAGCTGGAGGGCTCTCCAAATATTCCTGACAGAGAGCAGGTACCAGGAGAAGGCAAATGAGCCTGACATGGATCCATGTGGAGCTTCCCTGAGGTCAGCAGGGCTCCACTGAGACACAAAATCCAGATGGAGAAAACCTTGTGCAAAGCCAGAGTTGATTCTGAGTATTTTCTGACGTGATTGTTTCTTTGTAACAGTCAGTCAGAAACCTCTCCTGATCGTTTTGGAATTGATTTGCTGAACTGCAATGCTTCCAAAGTTAATAAAAAACAACAGAAAATTGCCTTGCCTGTTCCAGGAATATTGAAAAAATTGGGCTGAGAACCCTGTTTTGGGTTAGAGTGAAAAAAAATTTTTTTTCAATAATTGTGTTTGCAGAAGAATCACATTGATTCAAAAACCAAATTAGTTCCATTGCATATGAATATGACTTTAACTGGGGGCAGGGGGAATTATACACAGACTCAAATCAGGTCCCCTGTAAAGACTTCTTAACTAATGTAAACATGTACCTTTCCTGAATGGTGATGCTTTGCTGAAACCAGCAATCTTTCCTACATAGCAAAAAAAAAAAAAAAAAAAAAAAAAAAAAAGATAAAAAACCCCCAAACTACTCATTTTTTCTTCTTTTAAATCATGAAAAGAACAAGCACTTCCCTGCAGTTCACACCCACTACAGAATTCTCACTGAACTGAAAGAAAATATTTGAGTTTCACATGTTAAGCAATACTTTTACACCAGTGAAGCCTTTTCAGTTTTAGGAATTCAAATCCCTGTATTTTTTTAATGTTTCTAATCTGACAGTGAAACTATTCCATATTCCCCTTTCACAGTACTCTCTGTCAACTTCAGTCTCCAGGAATTGATAAAGTAGCTGAAGACAAGGTCATGTTTTGGAAGAAGAGAACTTCTGCTGCATGTAAGGTGGGGGGAGTAATAATTTAAAATAAAATTAAAAGAAACTAACTAGAAAATGGCTTCTTTCTGAAAAATAAACTTTCAGAAGTTTTCAAACCCTGAGGCCTGGTTGTTTCCAATAAAAACCCCAAACAAACCAACAAATATAATCTGCTACTAAATGGAGATGGTGGGGGTAATGGAGCACTCTTGGAGTTAAAGACAATTAAAACCAAAAATACAGAATCTGAGTTCCAGTAATCTGAGCTATCTTTTGTAGGGCCAGGTCTGGCCCTAGGCTGAATGCTTCCAAAGGAGCAGGATTTGTACATGGTTTGTCTTTTAAAGTGCTTTGGGGTCAAACTGGATTTGACAGCAGCCTTTGAGATAGCCATGCTATGTCAAAGCCTTCCTAATTCATCTCCCATTATTCATTTACTGTGCTGTTTCTCAAACATGGCACATGAGTGGCAAAGCAGAGAAGTCAGAAGAAAACAAATTCTTAGAAATCACCAGTCCAGTGGAGCAGATCATGACAGCACTTGAACTAAGGAAGATCATCAGCCAGGACTCAGTGAGAGCCAGAGCAGAAACACCTCTTGTGTTGAGTAAAAACCATTAAAAATAAAAACCAAAACCAACTCCCAGTCACTGAGAATTCCTGTTATTCTCCATGTGTGTATGGCAATGCCACTGATACTTTCTCCTGAAGCTTTTCTTCCTACCAACTCAGCCTTGCCTTGGAAGACAATCTGCCATGAGCAGCCTCCAGCCCCTTCAGCATGTCCAGCAGCACAATCCTCCATCCTCCTGAAACCAAGGGGACCTCAGCGTGTGCCTGAGCGTTCTGAGAAGCACAAATTAAGTATTCAATTAAATATTTGCATCTGCCAAAGGGCTTTGTTCAAATACAGTGCCTGAAGATTCTAAAGGTGACCACCTTTCTCCCTGTCATGTCAGAAACACGCCCAGATTTGGTCAAAATCAGAAGGAAATTCTGGCTTTGATCTAAGCCAACACTGTGACAAATGGACAGGGACAAAAGAGGGTGTTGATCATAGCATGAGGCTCTTGAGTCTCTTATTTGTACTCAACAATGGGAAATACAAAGTTCCAAAAGCAAGTGTTCATGGATAGACAATCACAGACTTCAAACTTTGGGAAAATGAAAGAAATTATCTGTTACCACAACAAAAAAAAAATCCCAAAACAAAACCAAACCAAAACCCAGCTGTTTTTATCTCCAGCTCTTCGTTTTTTAAATGACACACAAGGATTTCCTACTCTAACAAAGCCTGCTGTATATTCTGGTAGTAAACTTCAGATCTGAAGAAATTTTATATAAATTCATGTTATATTTTTCTTTTTGTATTAGGGGAAAATATTTCAAATGCAATAAAATAGCAGAATTCATGACTGTATAGTAGGCAACTTTTCATTTTTTTAGATTCAGTTGTACAAACTATAAACTGTTAAATTTCTCTAATAATTGGAAAAGTTGTGGGTATTTGAACTTACTTACCTGAATATTCATTTAGCAAATATTTTCAGATACAAGTCTAGATACAGAGTTATGCAATTTGAATATTAGTTTACACATAATATAAATCAATGTTTGACAATATCAAAATCCCATCAAACAGTGGGCCCTTCTTATGCTATTATCAAATATAGTATATCACTGTGGGATAGCTGAGAATCATAGAATGCTACTGTAGGCTTGTTTATTAAATTGGGTCAATTTTCAGACCTTCCAAATAGGAATACTAAACATTTATTTTTCCCCTCTGGAAATTATTTTTTTTTCCTCCTGCTTAATACAGTTGTCATCCCAATTTCTAGTGAATTTATAAAAATATTTTTTTTTTATCCAATAACCCCAGCAAGGTAAAAATAGGAGTTTTTATAGCAAATGATAAACAGGCTCACGGACTATGAGAGAAACTAAACTTATTTAAATTGCCATACATTCTCTACTGAATCACACATCAACAGTTCCTTTTTATGTGTGTTGCTGTCCACCTCAGACTAGCAGTTTTTAAGGTGCAGAAGCATCTTTCAAATATATGCATCTAACTCAATAATCAAGTTTCACACACTAGTGTCACATGCTTTAAATTTACATCACCTGCCCATCAAAAGCTGTGTTAAATAACAGCACTAATTGAAACTGCATAATTCCTCAGAAACTGCAGCACTTCCAATTCAGAGAACAAAGGGGTGCTTATGTGGTTCTTTATATTACTAGATATAATTTTCTGAAATAAGGAAAGGAAAATAAACAAAAAAAAAAAAACCAACAAAACAAACCAAAACACATTTGAAAGAAGTTGCTGCACCTGCAAAAACACTCTTTAAGCTTACTATGAAATACAAAAAAGTGCACCCTTCTATATCTACATATAAAACATATTAGAAATAAAACTTGTGTAAAATGTTTGCTGTGCAAACTATAAAAAGTCAGTCAGTCAGTCCATTCTTTTTCCTAAGTGTTTTTTTTCCTCCAGGCTCTCTGGCTTCCTACTGCAGAGAGTCGCTGTTGTCCAAGACCAGCCCACTGATGTTGGCTGTGGAGAGGTCGCCGCCGTCGTCCTCGCCGCTGTCCACGGACTCGTCCTCGCTCTGCCCTGCCATCATCACCTGCTGCACAGCCAGGGTGGCACCATCCGAGGACAAGGACTGCAGACTGTCCACATTCATGTTCACTGGAGCTGTGATGGTCACGACAGCACCTGCAGGAGGCACAAGCACAGCACTTCAGCACCTTTCTGGCCTTCTGTTTATGGGTAACGGGGCTTTTTTCTAATCAGCAGCTACTGCAGAACAGTTATCTCTAATCAACAGCCACCCACCACAGAAACTCAAGGAACTACATTAAAATAGAAGATATATAGGTTGTCAAATACTTAATGTCAGGAAATGCCAGAATTAGGTTGGTCAAGAATCTTAAACTTTGCTTTGTGAATCTTAAATCTGTCTTATGGACAGCCACTACAGCAATTCTCCAATCAAGTCACCACAAGGCCATTTCTGCAAAGTATTCCAGCTTCATTCCTTGCAGAAAAAGGGTAGATTCAAGGTTCAAAATGTTCAAGATTCAAAAGGTTCAGATTCAAGGTAAATTCAATGGATAAAGCTGTTGTCAGATCCAGCAGAGGCTTGTCACAGACATGTTTTATGAAAAATCTTTTCTTTAAGATTTTTTCTTTTGAGAAGCTGAGAAGCTTCAGAAACAAAATGTAAACAATAATTATCTGCTGCTGTAGAATGCAACAAATGGATCTGTGATTGGTCTCATGTGATTGTTTCTAATTAATGGCCAATCATAGTCCAACTGTCCAGATTGTCTCAGTCAGTCACAAGCTTTTGTTATCATTCTTTTTGTATTCTTAGCCAGCCTTCTGATAAAATCCTTTCTTCTATTCTTTTAGTATAGTTTTAATATAATATATATCATAAAATAATAAATCAAGCCTTCTGAAACATAAAGTCAACATTCTCATCTCTTCCCTCATCCTGAAACCCCTGTAAACACCACCACAGAGGCTGAAGGAAAATTTGTTAAAACTGGAAAAAATAAAGCACCAAGCAGCAGGACAGAAAGGATGATCCTGGCATTAAAGCAGTTATTTATCTTTCTTAAATAAAATCTTTTTGTTTGATCTGACACTGAGGAAGTTACTTCAGTCAAAGTCTGTGGAGGTTCTGTGATATTTTTCTGCCTCTCATTGTTCAGCTGGAAGCACGTGAGGCAGATATGGAACTGCAGCTGCTCAGCCATGAAGCTGCAGCCCAGTGTTGCTCATCTAACAGGACACTCCTGACGTGCACACAGAGAGAACTCAGCTGTACATCTCAGTTTTACATCTTTTATTCTGTCATTTCATAACTTCTGAAACAAAAGCAAGTTTCTCAACATGAATTCCAATACAATACCCTTGCTTAAACCACAGAAAAGTGTTAAAGAGAGGAAAAAGTGACATATTTCTGTTATGCTTTCCCAGATTCAAACCACATTTATACTGAAATATCCAGAAGTTTCCCTCCCAGCAGAGGCATCAAACCCTCCCTTTCCCTGTCAGAGAGGAATAACTTTCTGCTCCATGTTCAGGCAGCTCTCCTCACCATCTGACATCGTGAGCTCGTTCGATTGCTGCTGAGCAACTCCTGAGGCAATGGAGTCAGGCCAGAACCTCTGCACTGGTCGGTTCTGGGCTGTTTTCTTCTTTGTTTTTGGAGTTTCAGAACAACTGGAATCCAGCATTGGCTGAAGAATTCGCCTTCTAGCATTGATAAACCTAAATACAATCAAGGGCAAGGTGAACTTAGGACAAGTTGGCTGTAAATTCTGTGTCTCTCTCTCACATTCACAAAGTATGCAGCAGGAAAAAAAAATTAGGAATATGAAATCTTCTATCAGCTGGGCTTCACATTCTTTTTAAAGTGTAGAACCACTCCTAGAACATCAGCATCCTTCAATTTTGGCAAACTAGCTAAGAAAGCACTTATATCATTTTGCAGCTAACAGCATTTTTCCCCCACCTCAGAAGGAAAAATTCTCCAGACAGCACAACAGATGTATGTACCCTTCAGGATCTTATTAAAAACTAAGCACCAGAAAACCTGCTGACAGCCCAGCTCAGAAAGCTGATACTCCTCTCATTAGGGTTCACCTAAAGTCTAGCCCCTGCCTAACCTGCTTTGTTTAGTCTGGTTTCATTTACTCCCTTAAGCTTCTGCATCACTTATTTCACAGGCTCCCTGCCTTTCCAAGGGCTGGCTCCTGATCCAGGAGATGACAGCAAACACATCTGTCAGATCTGTCCTGGTTCCTTTTAGTTCTCTAATTTTCACTCCCTTACTTTAGCATGCTCATTGCTGCCCTTCCCCTTTCTGCTAGTGAACAAGAAAATACTGAAACTGAATCAACTTCAACATAGTGAGCTATGGCAGGGAGTTGTGACTGAAGACATCATCTTCAAAAAAATACAAAATGATACATCTAGGTCCCAAGTTTACCTGCAATGGGAGGAAACCAGGTGCAGCTGGCAGGTTCCTAAGTTGTAACAGAATGCTCTGCAAAGACAGCAGTCAGATCCCAGCACAGAGCTCCATGGCCACATGTCACACAGGCACAGCCACCCTGTTCCACTTTTGGAACCAGTGTTCTGTCACTATCTTGGCTATTTCCCCCCTGGACCCCTCCACAGCCTCACAGCCAGTGTCATCTTTGAAATCTGAGGCAGATCCCAGTAGGACTTTGCTGCAGCAATTTTAGGAACTGATGCCACAAGGAGAACAGGACATGTGTCAGCACCTTCCCTCCTCTCTTCTCCAGGGCAGGTGTCTTATCTTACACCTCCAGGAAAGATAAGACATGACAAAACCTGCTGAACCATGAACTGGTGGAGCTGAGGAACTGCCTCTCCATTCAGACATCACCCTTTGATCCAAGAACAGAATCTGTTAACAGTAACTTCCTAAACACCTGCAGCCACCAGGCCACTAAATGCCTTTAGACTTCACTTACAGAAGAGAGATGAGAGTACTTCCATCTCTCTCAGCACTGGAACAGAACACAACTCCTAGTGCTGCAATGTTTTCTGGAGTCCTTATATAATTTAAATGGCATGAGTATTATTGTATCTTGTAAAAATAACATGCTCGTGTGCCAGTGCATAGCTCTTGTATTTCTATACATGTTTTGTAACATATGTAGAATATTTAAGTTCAACTCCAGATGTCCAAGTTATCCTCCTCACTATTTCTGAGCTGTAAGCACATGGAGACAAGGACAGATATTAAATTAAGGGCTTTGCTCTTACCAGTTGTTAACCTGGAGTAGTGTCAGATTTGTTTGTGCTGCAATCTGCTTCTTCTCATCCTCTGTTGGATATGGATGCTACAGAGGCCAGAAAAGCAAACAGAAAAAGCATAAGCTTGTTTTCCATCTCCTCATCAAAAATAAGAACTCCTTTATTACATCTGATTAAAAAGGGTGGATTAAGGCCACCTGACTCATTAAAACACAAACCTTAGAAAACCTCACAAACTTTTATAGACGAAAATAATTCAACAAAGAGTGCTTTGCTACATAAAAACTGATTTTATCCTTGAGAGTTTCTGTGGCACCATGAAGCTACTGCTGTGTAATTCAGAAGAAAAAGCTTCTCATGGCTGACAGTTTTTATTAAAGAGCGTGATCCCTGGGCAGCACAGCATGTGAGCAGCTCTGATTAGTTCTGCTGGCCAGGGCAGTGTCATATGAGAGAAGTGAGGAGCACTCAGTTAAATAAAGGAGCACTGGAGTTAAATAAAGCTGCTCTAAGCAGATGAGGACAGGGCACGTAACACAAGAAGTGCACACGCAGCTTCCCTGGATCAGTTCTCTGCTCCAAACCAGTTGTAAAAGGCAAAATATCAATCAGGTCAGCATTGAAATAGCTTGGGAGCCATTTATCCTCTCAAAGTATTCATGCAAAGGGAGGACAACTGAAAGCACAAGCAGATAGTGACATGCTTGGTACACATCAGAAGGACTGGAAAGGAGATAAAGACAGAAAATGTGAAATACCCCTAAAACACTGCAAAATACAGGTGCAATTACTTTTCCTTGTGCCATGAACCAGGGTGTAGAGAGCATTAAGTTCTCAACACAGTGAAATGAAGAAAGGCTCCTTGTAAAAGCACTTATTGAGACCATGCAGTTCAAATGTAACATATTTATTAAAACACTATTAAAAGTCAACCAGCATTAGACTGTGGAACTACTCCAAATGACTCCAGGGAAAGCTGAACTGAGATTTCATAACTGACAACAGAATAAATTCACCTTGTTTATGAAGAAAAATTGTAAGAGACCACATGAAAGAGCTACATAAAAACTGCCCATGCTCAGTCCTTACCCCTATGTGCTGAAAAAGCCAAGATCTCATCACATTTGTAGCGTGCTTGGGAAGAACTCCTCTCTTATTTTTTGATGAGCCATCATCTTGATGCAAGATGCCTAGATCTTGGTTTAACTGCAACTGGAGCTGCACATTTAATTTTAGGAGAAATAAAACAGTTAACATAGTAATGGCAGTTTTGTATCAATAAATGAAAACTCATTTATAGAAGGAATGAAAAGAAATTAGGCTTGAATATCTTGAATATACTCACTGTGTGCAAACATAAACAACTATGGAAGCTGTAAAGCATTACTGATTTAACACTTAAATGAAGGATAAAGTAAAATTAATTATTATGCTGCAGTTATAAAAAAAAGATGCTAAAGGTCCTGCTAAATAAATGCATTAAATTCTAAAAGAGCATTAAAATCCATACAGCAGAACCTATAATTCACTTTACAACATTCATACTTCTTCCTAAATATTCATATTTTTTATCTTTGTTTTTCATTTCCTATGGATTCATCAAATCATTTGCACATTGGTAATCTGAACGTTTGGGAATACATTCTTAAATGCTTATGCAAAAATAGAAAGAAAACAGCATAATTTATGTGCTGTCATGTAAGATTCTATTTCAGACAATTGTAACCAAAATAATTCTAAATCAGGTTTTCCAGACAAATTGGAGCAATTTCTTAAGCCAATCAATATGTAGGAAATTAGTTTTAAACAAGGTTTAGGCTATCAAATTACTACAAATATATATCTGGAGCACATTTTAATTTCCAAAGTAATGTCTAACATTCTAAATAACCTGCTTACATATGGAGGCTTTATAATGAACTTTCAATAGCTTTTCTACAGTGCTTTTCCCTACCTCCACAGCATTCTGAAACACTGAAAAAGAAGACACTGAAGAAGGAGTTTCACTAAGTGACCTTTGCATAGGTGGGTTTGGAGACTCCAACTAACATCAAGAGTAGCCACAGATGTATCCAGGAGGTCAAGTCCTTTTTTATTTATAGGCTAGAGGCATTATTTTTTTCCTCAGTATTTTTTTTTTTTTTCATTAAAGGTAAAAAACCCTCAATTTTTCCAAATCCCTCCAGTCCAGGAGAGTAATTTTACACATTTCTTTCTGAGAGGTGTGTGAGGACAGAGCTGTCTGTGTTCTAGGGAGGGGACATGGCTGAGTACAGATATTCTCCTGCCAAGTCAAAGAACACTCTGTGCACACTTTTTTGGTTGGAAGGCCAGAAAAGGGGGGAAAAGAAGCCAGTGAGTCAGTGATTACCAACAGATTTTATGCTGGGGAGATGGGAGCTCCTCATTCACATTTCTAATTAAATCCAGATTCCAGCAAGATTTGGTTTACCACTTCCAGAGAAAGCCAGCAAGGTTTTCTATACCAGAAGATGGTCTAGTTTTCATGTTTCTTTTTCTTTAGTTGTTTCTTTGAACTTCAGACCCAACTCCTAAGAGCCTCCCACAAAAGAGTGCTGCCCTTATATTTTAGGGTATAAGGGGACAAAATTAGGATCTCCCAGAGTCTCAATTAAATATTTTGAAGGTTAAACTCTGAAATACAGTTTCACAGTTCTATTGGTTGCCATTGTAATAGAAAGTCAAATTTCTCAAACTAGCAGTGTGGCACCTTAATGCAATACATGAAATCTATCCAGCCATAAACAGAGTTCAATGATTAGAAAAGTTCTAACCATTGAAAAAGTATTCATTTAATTCAGAGAGCTTTTTGGTTTGCATTGGTGTGGGGTTTGTCTGTCTTTGTTTTGTTTGTTTGTTTGTTTTGAATTTCGGTTGTTTGGTTTTGTTTGGTTGTTTTGTTTGTTTTGGTTTGGGTTTTCTTTGTTGTTGTTGATTGGGTTTAGAGGTGGGGTTTTTTTAATTTTAGTTTCTTGTTTGTTTGTTTGTTTTTTAATTTCATGTACCTATAACTCTTCTGGCATCAGCAAAGGAACACAATTAAAATGTAGGAACTCTGATGAGCTGCTGTGGCAAGGAGGACCTTATGACATATCCTACAACCTGTACCTCCCACAGCAGTGGCTGCACCAATTTACAATTCATTACCCTGTGTGTACACAGAGCTCCTTCTGCCAGTGTGTCCAATTTAAATCAAAACTCCTAAACCTCCTGAGATGTATTTCCAGCCAGATCACCATTGTGTGGAGCTTATGGAACAAACCTGGGAGTTCTGGATCCGAATAGTCCCAGGTGACAGTGCCTGTGTCACCACTTGTCCTTGTGGAGTGACCACAGTGACTGGCTGATACACTGTCCCCCCTTGAAGCAAAACACAAACACAGATTATGGGGAAGAAAAACCCCTTCAGGTATTATTTTCTTTAAACATATCACCACTGCACATCATACAAGACTTTTAATAATATATCAATTACTCTTTTCTAGTCAGCAGGCAAGATGTGCTCTTTGCACACTAAAATTTTCATCCATTCACAAAAAAGCTGTACAAAATTTGATTCTATTTCCCTGTATTTTAGGCATTTTAAATCTATTTTCAAAGGAAAATGCCATGATTATCAGGCTATAAAACAGTTCTTCATGTTGTTTTAACTGAGCTAAGGGTCCCAACACCAAAATCACACCTCAGTGTAGCCAATTCTTAGGACAGCTGAGTTTTAAAATCTTGCTGAGAGGCAAGACTAAACACTTCATCTCAAATGTAATTTCCATATAACAAGGACATCAAGGATTTTACAGACTTGTAGGTGTGGTTCCAAACTCCAAGGAGCATGAGGCAACCAACAAGTGCAATGGTTTAGGTAATGCATGTTTTTGTCAAATAGAATTCTTCTTTTTAAAGGCAAAAAAAAAGTCAAACACCACAGCCTGTGAAAATTTAACAAATGTAGTGTTGCACATTAAGATCTCTTAATATTATATACATAACTGCCCCTCCCATGGACATGCTTGGAAAATATATAAATTAAACAAACCTTCAGAAACCAGTAAAGCACTTGACTGTACTACAACAACTTTTCAGGTATTAAAACACACTTTTTCAAGGATTTGTGTAATTTTTGCAACAACCATAAAGGAAACCAAGATGAAGAGCAAGGTGCCAGTTGTTTTTAGTGTGTCATACCTGCTACTGTTGCCATAGTTACATTTCCCTGCTGCAATGCTGATGCTGGCACCACGATCCCTTGGGGACTGAGTGTGCCTGCAATGGCACTTGGAATTTGCTAGAAAAATAAAACAATTAGTTGCTTACATTTTTTAAATTTTTATTTTCATGTAAGGAGATAAAGAATGCTTGTGTATTTTTGTAATTTGTTTTAGGTATTTTTGGCTCTAAAATATGTTTGGAGTTTAATCACAGGATTACCTTCAAAGAGAAAAATACTTCATTAGGGGTTCATCATTCCCTGCATTAACTTCCTCATTATCACCAACCATTACCTTTGAAAACCCACATGAAAGCAACTGCTAGAAAAGATGTGAAACAATTTTGAGAAATTTTAGTTTTAGGTATGTAAAGAATAAGAAACAGTTTCCAAAGGCAAGAGGGAAAAAGGACAAATGAAATGACCCTTGATGCTCCAATTACAAGCATCAAAGCTTTAGAATTTTAGTTATTATCTCAATTCCTTCAATTTGAACATAATGTATTAAATATTCAATATGTTTTATTCTGCTCAAGGTAGCTCTTACTCAACCTTGGACAAGCAAACTCTTACACATTTCCTTAGTATGTATGAATAATCTCTTTTGATAGCAAATGCATAATGGGTCCCTCATGTCTCTACAGAAAACTGTAAGAGATATACAGAAAAAAACTTTTAAAGCTTTTTTTGCCTGATTTTAAAACCTCCTTTCCATACTTCCAGACATCAAAACCTATAAAAGGAGTACAGAAAGTGAAGTTTAAAAGTCATTGGGGCTTTTTTTAATACAGAGCATCAGATACATGAGTAATTCAGAGAAGGATATTGGGGTGGGAGGGCTCACTCTGCAGCATCTGGCAGCAAAAACATCAACCATAACTATTAATTGTGATCCATTTGATACAAAAAATGAAATATTGCAACTTTAATCCATCAGATATTGTCTTTTTATTCCAGAATACAGGTTGTGTATAAAATGCATCAGACATCTCAATGTTTTAATGAAAGAGGCAGACTAAGGAGGCCTTAACAAGCAAAATTTTTCTTCTTTGTTTATTCTGTTTCCTAACCTCCTTCCAACCAAATAGAGATCCAGGCTATTCTGAATGTCTCCACTTGCTGAACTGAGAGAAAATCATAAAAGGAAGACAGACAAGAGAAAACTGACTCTGTGCTCTGGCACATTTCAACAAATTTGTCCATAGGGCAGTAGCACAAAAAAACCACCCACCCTCCAAAAAAACCCACCCCAAAAACAAACCAAACCAAAACAAAACAAATAAAAAACCAACAAAAAACCAAGACAAAGCAAAAAATAAACAAACAAAAAACTCTTTCTACTCTTAATACCTGATTTGAGAGAATAGAGGAAATTGCAGAAACTCTGTTTGCAAATTGATAGCAAAAGAAGCATGGCTGTAACTTCCTAAGGAAATCTAAGCAAAAATCCACTGAACAGCATTGGAAACACACCTGAGATTGCACAGGTGAATAAGGACTTCCAGGCTCTCCACTTAATAGAGTTTCACTATTCATTTTTGTCTTCAGGCAGGCAATGTAACGACTACAGAAATCCTTGCAGAGTTCATTGACCTTTTCCAGCTCCAGCAGATGGATACGCAGAACTTGGATTGCTTTTACCATCTGGGGAGAGAATTGGGAAAAAAAATCAGAAAGAAAACAATTGTTCCTTAAAAAAAAAAAAAATTAATGTGAGATTTAAGCAAACACTGCTTCCCAGTAACAAAGATCACCCAATTAAAGCAGAGGTTCTAATTGCTACATCCTGGAATGTGAAAGAACACAAGGAAACTGCCACACAGGGGAAAGAGAACAGGACAACAAAGTGAACTTTGTCATGTGTGACACTTCAGGAAGACAGAGCAGCTGAGGTGTCACAGGGCACAGGATGAGCCTGGATGTCCATGTGGTCTTTAACCCCCTGCTACACCTCTGGGGCACAGACCACACAAGAGTGGAAGTGATGGAAAGCAATCCCATCCACAGAAATGGTTTGGAAGGCAGGGCTGGGACAGGCTTGGCCAGCAGCAGTTCTCTCTGGAGCTCTATAAATCAGAAACACCAGGTTCAGTTCCACCCTGACACAAGGAAACCAGAAGGGTTGGAGATACAGTGAGAAAGAAGACACTCCTGTGATTAAGCATAAATTTGTTCCACAGATTGCTAGGGAGGATGAAAGCTTTTCTTTTTCAATAAAATTAGAATAAAGAGGTCCCAAATTTAGCTTAAAGTAATCAAACAGTTCTTCAGTGCTACAGCTTTTAAGTTCCTCTGTGATTGTATGTCAAAGATGAACAACTCTCAGGTAAAATCTTGTAAGCACTTTCAGGTGAGGAGCCTGATTCTGAAATACAAAACATTAAATACAAGGCACTAAACCAAATTAAAAAAATAATCCATGTTTAAGCTAAAATCCAAGTGCAGGAGATATGCATGTGAGGAGAATATTTGTCATGCTCACTGTGAGAAAAGCACTGTAAGCCTGGATAACCAATGGCATTACATACTGCACAAAAATAGCTTAGGTGATTGTAAGGGTCATGGCAGAAGATCAGAAGCTAAAACCAAATCCAGATGGTCTAACAGCAGCAGGAAATCCAGGACATTCAAATATGTACACAACACACCAGCAAAGTAATTATTTTTTATACAACATGCCACCCCCAACATTTCTGTGCTGTGCTGGATCTCTGAGAGAAATATCCTCCAGTTCCATGAAAATGAACAGTTGCAATTTTAAAGCATAGTGCAGAGCTTGACTTTACAATTATTTGGAAAAATCTGTCTACTATGAGGGGTTATTTACCTGGGCAGAGCTCTGATCCAGTGAACAGAAATTAGACCCTCCAAACTATGATCTATCTATTAAATCTATTATAAATCTGTCTATTACTTCCAACTCCAGAAGCCAACTGGGAGCTGAAGATGCCTTTGCTCAAGGTACCCAAAGGAGATCAAGGCAGGAAAACTTTGAGTGTGCTCCCATCCCCATCATGACATTTTAGCTTTCATTGAGACAGATATTTTCCCTGTTTTTTCAGCAAAAGGTGCTAGGACACTCACTCAGTGTAGACAACTGTGTGTTAAAATAAACAAAATGAAAAAAAATTAAGAAATTAGGTGATTAAAAAAATATTCTTCTCAGGGATAAAAAGAAAAAAAAAAAACCATATTTCAAAAAACAGCTGCAGAAACACCTGAGCTGTAGATTTGAGGGAATTGATCCAAATTAGTATTTGGTAACTCCTGTGACCTATGACACTGAAAGCCTTTGAAACACTGAGTGCAGTGACCCAGCACTTAGACACAAACCAGTGATTTTCTAACCCAGCCCAGGTTGCTTTTTAAACTGTGCTTAAGCATCTTTAAACACAACAAAGTTAAAGCATGCAAATGTAACTAAATTTTAACACAAAACAAAGGTCATCTGTTTCAAGAAATTCTGTTTCAGAGACAAAAAAGCTTAAAATAGAAAATTCTTCATGTGTGATCAGCAAACTGTACATCATATTAGTGAGTGTTTTAAACATTCAGCTAAAACTGAGGTAACAAAATATGTTTTTGGACACAAAATATTTGACCATAATAGAGTTCAGTTGGTTTTTGCTCAGTCAAGAGAGCTGTGTTTTTTAAAACATTAGCCAAATTTGTACTGTTTATTTATCAGCATGTGCTTAGAGGAAAAATGAAAGCCCTTTCTTCAGCCCAGACTTAGTTTAAAATTGATGGTTGATACTTGAGGTGAAAATGGAATTAAAGTCCGAATTACCCACAAACCCAGACTCAGTAACACTAGCCAGGTTTCTGCAGGGCCCCTCTCCATCACACTGCTCCTGCAGGAAGCTGTGCTGCTGTGTTAGGAGGAAAACAAAACTTTGTAAATGTGCCATGCCTGTCACCAGGACTTATGAATTCATTTACAGCTACATTAATTGTGCCCATATGGCTCCTGCTCTCTTGCAGCACAGGTGGACCAAACTTAATGTCAGCAGAAGTTCACTTTTCCCTTAAAACTAAAAAAAATCAAGAACTCCTGATAAAATAACTCAAGATGGACAAAGGAAATACAAAAAAGTGTTTTCAGACAGGTCACAGCAGTAATATTTCATTCAGTGCTACTGCAGAGAATCTGCCACAGAAAAATGACATTTTATAACTGATTCAGTCTTTTCAGCTGTAGCAATAAAACTGGAGTATCACTTCAGAGAAATGCATGAAGATGAAGTAACCATGAGATATGTGTATATTCACACAATCCTAGAATGGTTTGGGTTGGGAAGGACCTTAAAAATTATCCTGTTCCAACCCCTGCCATGAGCAGGGACACATTCCACTATTGCTGAAATTGCTGTAAATAAAGACAGTGGTAAACTATTAGAGAAAGAAAACTTCTTGAATAAACTTCCAGTTCCTGCTATCCAGAGCCTATTTATATATAAATATGTCTCCAAATTTAAGAAATTGATGCTATCTTTAGCCTAAATATGTTCTAGGTTGTGCCTGTGTCCTGCCTGCAGTGCCTCAAGCCTGTGGTGCAAAGGCACAGGAAGCACAAACTGCCTCAGTCATGATCCCCAGCTCACCTGTGCTGATGTAAAACCCAGAGCCACATTCCTCATGGATTTCAGAGCACATCAACTGCACATGTGGGCAACACACATGAAAGAATCTCCATGTACTGACACATAATCTCACTCAAATGACTCTTCATTTGCAAAAAAAACCCAACTGAAATATATATATTCACAGCTTACCTACCTCCCTGACCCAAATCCTCCTGCAGCAATTCAGATTTTCAGTGGAAGAACACAAACTCTGGGAGAAAAGCTATTTTGTTTTCATTCATTTTGATTTGATAACCTCACTCCTCTATTTTGAGTCCTCAGCTATGAGACATAGCTAGAAAAGGTGTAACTAGAGGTTTATGGGACAGTTCTGCACATTAAAACAGCAAAAACACTTTTCAGAAAGGCTTGGTCAGTCAATATTCAAATGACACCAGCTGGCTTCACCTCTACAACTCAGGTTCCAAGAATTCAAGAGAATTGAGAAGAGGGTACTGAACCAAAAATCCTTACCCCAAATGAAACAAAAAACTCGGGGGTCTTCAAAAAAGGCAGTGTCCTGTTCAAATACAAAAGGGAGAGTAGATTTAACAGCCCTTGCTTTGGATTGTGTCTAGACTTGACAAAGTCATAAGTAACCTGCTCTGACTTCACAGCTGACCCTACTTTGTGCAAGAGGTTGGACACCTGAGCTTTTAGGGCAGCCCAAACCATCCTATGGTCCTGTGAATGTAGAGAAATTAAAAAATCCACCCATGTGTGGGAAGAGTTTACTCTGAACAGAGAGGCAGGAACCATCCTAAGGCAACGTGGTGTTTCTGCAGTGTCTGGGTTAGCAGTGAGCAACAAAAAAATGTTAAGCAATGAATGTCTTCAAACATAAAATAATCTGAGAAAGAAATCTAAAAAAACTCTCTGCAAGCAGCCATGCTGAACAACTTCTTAGGCATGGAGGAGTCTGTGGATGTCCTATGCACAAAAGGAGACTGATGGAGAACACAGAGCAGTTGGTTCATTCCAGGATCTGTTTGATCTGCAAAAATGAGGCAGGGACAGCAAAGGGTAAGGGGAAAAGGTGATACTCCAAGTTATGTGGATAAGCTGAGCACACTTCCAGAAAGCAGCAACAGAGACCACCAAAATCTGCTTATTGACAGCAAACACAAATCTTCTGACACTGATGCTTGGTAAGAGGACTAAGGGGATGCAAATAACATTGCAAGAAGATATGGAGGAAGTTGAAGCTCTAGGAAAGCACATTTCCAGTCTAGTAAGAGCACAAGTACAACCTTCAGCTTCCAATTCCTTCCCACAGGATTTGAAAACAGGAGATCTGCAGAAAAGAACCACAGGGTTATCCCAGAGCACGTGGCCCTGGATTGCAGCCAGACCTGGGGAAGACCCTGCAGAAGTAAAAAAGGCCTGGCAACAATTCTCCTAAAAAGGCCTGGCAACAATTCTCCTGGATTGACTATGATCCTTTGCCCTGCTGATTCAAGATCACCAGCTGATGTTGTTGGAGAGCTTAACTGGGCAGAACAGAATCCCCAGAACAGAATCCCTCCAGCTGCATAGGAACAAGGGTTTGAAACCTGGTTTACAGGCAATTTAGCAATTTATCCTTAAAATCAAGTTTCAGGTGGATGCTACCTACATTTCCCAATGCTGAAATCCTTTTGAATACTAAACCAGGAAGCCACCAATTAATTTAGAATGGGAATTATAATACCAAAGTAACAAGATAATCTAGACCATAGCTTAGTAAGAGCTACTCAAATTGGAACAAGCATCCACTGCTCTTAATGAATTTCCTTTCTGGTCAAACTGATCTAATGCCTGTGCCACCCAGATTAACATTCTGTGGTCCCCTGGATGAACTCCAAACTCCTCTTGTGGAGTATTCAAGGCACTTCAAGTGAGTGCACAATGTGGAACATTGCCAGGACTGTAAGTGACCCTACAATCACTATCTGTGACCCTTCCTAATTTCTGTTATCTACTTAATTAGCCCACAGGTGGCATGGAACATTATATTTTGGAGAATTCATGAAGAATTATATTCTGCTGCTTTGGAGCTGTCACAGTTGAAGCTCTGTCACAGAAACTGCAGTCTGGCTGAGTTCTACATGCCACACCTCAAAGGGGTAAAAAGAAATAAAAAATTAAACAGCTGACCAATTTCCTTACTGTAACAGGCCTGTGACTCTCAGATAGGACTTGAATTTGACTCTTTAGTGTTGTGATGCTCAGTTCATCTCAGTTTAGCTCTGGCCCCGAGGTGATCCTACTGAGCAAACATTTACACCTTATTTGTTTGACTCTGCTCCACCCTTCTAGCCCAGTCTAATTATCAGCCTTAACAGCTTCTCCTTTCAGACGAATGGTTGAATTAACATTGGAGTTAAAAAGGGAAGGACAGCATGAGCAGAAGATGGAACAGAGTTGCACAACAGTGTTTCTTGCTACTAAACAGAGATCTTTTAATCTCTATTAAAAATATATATGTGACAGGAGGCAGAAAAACTGCCTTCCCTGTGGCAAGCACCAATATTTCAAGCTGAAAAGAGACTGAAAGCCATGCTAGCCAGTTCACAACTTAAGAGAAACTTGTGCTCACTGCCCCACACCAAATGAGGAGCCTGTCAGAATGTCAGCTGTTCAGAGCTCCCAGCCTCCAGGACAGGCAGAGGACAAGCTGCACTCAGGTTTCATTGGTATCCAGTAACAGAAAGTCACAGCTCACAATACGACCACAGGACAGGAGTTCAATGCCAAGGATTTTTGATTTTGCAATGTGGTTCCAGTTTAAGCCACTACTGACCTCAGCAGCCACGGAATCCAGGACATAAACAATTCCTCACCCACTTCAAGCAAAACCAGCCAGGTTTGTGCAGCCCATCAGCAAAGGAGAACACCACATAATCCAAGAGACTTTGTCACTAGAGCCACAAACTGAAACCATAAACAGGTCAATGACAGGAAGGACTTTTTGAACACAGCAGACCCAGCTACAACCAATGCAAGCTGGATCTGAGAGTGTTTATGTATGACCAAAAGCACAGGGAACAGGCCAAGGCAAGCAGGATCTTGGGGAAACCAATCTTTGGAGGCTCACAGAAGCCACAGAATTGGAATTGGCTGAGGTTGAAAGGGACCAACAGCTGAGGTTGGAAGGGACCTCTGGAGATGGTTTAATCCAACCCCCCTGCTCAAAGCAAGGTCAGGTAGGGCAGGTTCCTCAGGTCATGTCCAGCTGAGTTTGAATGTCTCCAAGGATGGAGACTCCACAACTCTCTGGGACTTCTTCTGCCCCACAGATGGGCAGAAGGAATCTGAGGCAGGATTTCAGGGTCTTGGAGCAGACAGGATCTATGGGGCACAGGGGATCTATGGGGCAGAAGGGATCTATGAGGCAGGATTTCAGGGTCTTGGAGCAGACAGGATCTATGGGGCACAGGGGATCTACAGGGCAGGATCTATGGGGCAGAAGGAATCTATGAGGCAGGATTTCAGGATCTATGGGGCACAGGGGATCTATAGGGCAGGATCTATGGGGCAGAAGGAATCGATGAGGCAGGATTTCAGGATCTATGGGGTACAGGGGATCTATAGGGCAGGATCTATGGGGCAGAAGGGATCTATGGGGCAGGATTTCAGCATTTATGGGGCACAGGGGATCTATAGGGCAGGATTCAATCACCGTCACAGTAAAAAAGGTTTCATGGAACCTCCTGTGTTTCGTATCCACTCCTGATTAAGTTCATGCCCATTTCCTCTTGCCCTGATGAGTCAGTCTGTCTTTTTCCCCCACGAGGACTTGGCATTTCCCTTTGCTGAATTCCATGAGGTTCCCATTTTTCTGCTTCTCCAAAAGCAATGAAGTACCTCTGAATGGTGGCAGAGCCATGTGTGCATCAGCACCTCCTCCCAGTTTGGCAACACCTGCAGCCCTGCTGAGGGCTCAGCCTGCCCCATCACCCCAGTCAGAAATGGAAATGTTAAACAGTTCTGGTTCCACAATCAGTCCCTGGAGAACAGCACTTATGGGAGCCCTCAACTGGATTTCCTGCTGCTGACCAGAACCCAGGGGTTCACCCATTTTTCAGTCCACCTCACTGCTCATTTATCTTGTCCCTGTCTTGTCAGTTTGTCAATGAGAACATTGCAAGACACCTCAAAAGTCAAGATAAACCACAAGCACTGTTCTTTCCTCATCCACTGAGCCACAGCTACTACATTCCAGCTATTAGACCTCAAATGTGCTTCTGAAATTAGAGAAATATGGGTTAGAGAAATATGGGAAAACAGTAATTTTGTGTTGGATTCAGAGAGTTACAAATGAAGAAAATAACCTGAGGCTTAACAAGTCAGCAGACCTGCTTCATGCAGAACAGAACAAACTCTCATTTTTGAGTAAAATATTGAAGGCAGGTGTATTCAAAATAGGGAAATCACAGCTTCATCACAGGAATGACTTTCAGAAAGCTTAAAGGAGTTAATGACATGTAAGAAAAAACTCTCTATGGTAAAGACTTTCTAAGATAATCTTATAATAGCTCTTCCCTCACATTAACTAGGTGAAGCATGATTTAAATAAAATTGGAAAAAAATTACATCAATTACATGTTTTTGATAAATATGTTAAACACCCAACACTCTAAAATTAATTGGCAGAGTCAGTCTGGCTATGGAAAGGATTTTTTTCTGTTTGTCTCCAATACACTCATGTCAGCTGAGAATAGGAAACAACTGTGAAGAGCCCAAAGTAAATTTACAGATAAAAGGGAAAAGGGGGTCAGAAGGAATTTTAAAAAATATTTTTAATCATTAACATAAAGAAGAATCTCTCACAGGCAGAAAAATGAGAGGAGAAACTACAAGGACCAGTTGAGATCAGAAATTAGGAAGAGGCTGCAAATGTGATGGTTATTTCAGAAATGAAAGAAACAGCCAATACTTACCAAATTATCAGTTTCTGGATCTTCACAGAAAAAGGGTTTTCCTTCTTTCTCCTGCTTCCTCACGAAGTTTTCAATATCTACATCAAAACTGGCAGAAGTTGTGCCTTCTGAGCCTTGTGTAGATTGTTCACATTTTTCAAATAATAGTGCTAACAAGGGAAATAGTGGGTGCCTAGAAATAAAAACAGTTTAAATACATGAATAAGTATTTTCACTTATGTGAAAATTAAGACATCTAGCTCAGAAAAGCTCACAGTCACTCATGTGAATGTGACAAGTTCTGGAACAGACTGCATATAACAGCACTGGCTAGAGCAAAATAAGATAAAAATTTATTTTCATTTTGATTTACCCCACTCCAGAGGCAAATACAGCAGTAAAATATGTATATATTTAATTAAAGAAAACAATCACAAGCAAAAAAGCTCTGACTGTTTAATTCACTGTAATTGAGTGGCACTGAGACAGATTAATACAGTGCACTAGAAATGAGATTTAGGATTTACAAAGAGGATAAATGTAGATTTAAATGAAGCCTGATAAAATTAATTTATTCTTCAATGTGGGCCATACACATCAGGAAATAACTAAATAAAAATTGAGAAGAATATTCAGGCTGTGCTCAGAGGCCTCCTGTGAAATCATGCTCTAAGGAGAAGATTTTGTTAGCACAAGTCTGTAAATGAATGGATACATCTTTCTGCCTCAGGCTGAGGGTTTTTTGGTGTTTTGTTTGGCTTTTTCCTGTTTTGGTGGTTGTTTGTTTTTTTTTTAACCTGAAAACCAGTAATACTTCTGTCTTTATAAAGTAGTTAAGGTGAAAGAACATTCAACCCCATGAAAACTGAGCATATTGGTTAGCACAGCACTTTTCACTGAAAAATCTCAAATTAGTGTGCTCATATATCAATATTTAATCCATTTTGAGGTAATTACTGGGGAATAGATTATTATCCCTAAAGAAACAGAGGAGTAAAGATTGACCTAATTACAATAAAATTAAAAACCCGTATATTAAAGATAAAAACAACAATATGACAAATAGTGACCACAGTTTAAAGGGTAAAGCTGCTTTCTAAATTTGGCAACCACTCTTAGAATACCCTTTAAAATGGCTGTCATTGAAAAATCCCACAGGCTCAGGAGGTTTTTCCTTGGCTGATGACTGCCAGTGAAGCCTATTTGGTCTCACTCTTTCCCTACAAATGATGGAGACAGCCAAGCAATCACCTGATTTTATGCTACTTATTATTTATTTATTAAAAACCCCCAAATCCTCTCCCCTAGCCTTCACCCTTCAAAAGACAGAACAGGAGTCCATCACTACCTGTAAATGGCCTGCTTGTCTGCATCCATTGGAGTCTGAGATTCTACAGGGGCAGGACTCACCCCTTCGGCATCAGTTTCAGAGCAGTTGGGATCTTGTTCAGTTTTTAACTCTGTTACCACTTGCATCTGTAGGGGGAAAAAAAAAAAAAAAAAAGTAAATTCGTAGCCCTGACGTAAAATAAGGGTGCTGTGTTCTTAGGAAAGAGCAATGCAAAGGGCTCCTAGATTGCCAGAAGGTTGGTGTGACTTGGCAGTGACACAAGAAGTTGTAGCAGCAACAAAACCCCTCTTTTAATCCCTGACACTTTTTGATGGATAAAGGTCATTTCCAAGTTTTAGCATTTGGCTTTAAAATGGGAATGATAGATATTAGTAAATTGTTGAAGCATTTTGTCTCTGAAGTAGCTGTTTTTGGAATAGCCTAGAGTACTTTGCTCCAAAAAGTTCATGGGAATGTGTGCATAAAAATCCTTTAGGATGAAATCAATGTAAAGTTTATGCTCTTAAGATTTCTCTTTTTTTATTTTTTACTGTGCATTGTATAAGGGCACTGAAGAAAAGGATCTTCTAGGTTTTTTTGTCCATTAAAATGCACATTTAAAATATTCTATGTCCCTCCAGTCCTTCAATTATAGGAGCATAACCTCCCATGCCCCTTAGCACTCCATTTTACATATTGCAAGAACCAAGTATTTTAGTGCTCTCAAACTACAGGAGAACAGCAGTAACTCCTCCTACACACTCATTTAACCCACATTTATACCATGGAAAAGCACCACAGAGCCACAGCTTCACCTGAGCACCTCCTAAATTGCATTAGGAGGCTGGGCACACCTTTGGGGTGCTTTGAAGATGTTCCAAGTGTTTTTTGCATCACCTCCAGCTAAATATCTTTTGGACTAAAAGGTCTTCCAGGAACCTGAACTGTGAAAGTCACAGTTTCCACCCCTTAGCCCAAACTCTTTGGTTTTCTCCCATTTGAGCATCTGCACAAAGACATGAAAACACTGGAATCTTTTCTCTTAATTCTCTTTTATCTCAGGTAGAGGACAGGCACTGTTCTAGGGACCTCCAGGCAGCCAGAACTGACAGTTCCAGAAACTATTAGAGAACCTGACTTTAACAGAAATTAATTTATTTCCACATAAATGCAGCAGAAAAAAATTATAGTATTTTTAACTATCTGGGACAACCAAAAGGTTTGTTATTTAATACCTACTGGGGCCAAGCCATCTCCAAGAAAAATTAGAAACTGAGAAAATTCAGCATCTCCCACCCAACAGAGCAGCCTGCCCTGTAGAGAGCTCCCTCAGCAAGCAGAGATGATTTTCAAACCAGAATGCTTAAAAAAAAAAAGAAGTAACTAATGGACTAATTTCTTAGCTAATGACAGGAAGGAGGAGCAAATTAGAAGGGGATGACTCAGACAAGTGATTATAAATGTTGGCCATAAATCTGCAGAGTTTGAAGGGAGGGAGTGTGCTCAGTGAGGGTTCTATTGCCCTAGGAGGAGGAAACAGCTCACTTAAAACTGAAATTTTTTTCTGTGGGCCATTTCCAAACTAGAAAAACAGCAGGCACCTGAATTGCCTGTCTACCTTGGACACTGAGAACTTGAAATACACAACAAATAGGAAGAAAAAGCTCTCTCCCAATCTGTTCTTTAGAAAAAAAACATATTTTACTTTCACTGCCACAGGATGGTATTTGCTGGGAGAATAAAGTCAAATATGTAAAGTAGGTGAGAGGAGAGAGAGAAATTAGAATTGCAATAAAAGAAACAAACAATAAAACTAAAAATCAAAAACCTGACTGCATTGAGATGAACATTTTATAGGAGATGTGGAAAGTTGCTGGTTTTTTTCTGACTGTTCCCCATTGTTGCCATCTGCTGACAGAAGTATTTGCAGTTATAACTTAGGGCTGACACAGAGTAACAGAAAAATGGGTCTTCAGAATAGAGGCCACCCCATGAATTGCCTCCAGTTAACAGCATTTTAATTTATCAATTTAAAGTGTAAAACTACACAGCCCATCATACAAAAAAGAAACATTATCAGATATGCATGACTATGTTTCATTATTCCAGCTTAAACAATGCCAAAGCAGGCACTAAGGACAAAGTCACTGTTTTTTTCCCCTCTTCCTAAGTGTATTTAGTTCCTATAGAAATGAAAACACACCTACCTGTTGTCCATCTTGATAGTTGTCTATACTTAATGTCTGTGTTGCCATCATGGTTATTAAGACATTAATTGTGTCAAATCATCCTAAGTGTGAACAAATAGTCTTTAAAGAAAAACAAACAGTCAGTTAAAAAAGTGGCCACTGAGAATCCAGTTCTAAAGGGTGAAGAAAAAATAAAGGTAGAAATTCAGATTGATGCACACCTCTCAGAGAGTTTATTGACAACAACAGCCACATGCAAATTCAAACAACAAATAAATTCAGTTTGGAAATGTAACAGGTTTTATAAGCAAAAAGTTCATTGTCTCTTTATATTTTAAAGTAAAACTACTAGTAAGAGGCTGAGGTTTTTTTATACTCACAAGCTCAAGTGAACTTTAGCATTAATTTCTGCACTACTTAACTGACATTCTAAGGTCATACATGAAATCTAGAAATGGGCAGGTTTGTGTTTCTGTGTTTTGAAAAGGCTCCCAACCCACTGAGCATCACTGTAACTGAAATAATAACAGCTTAAAATGATGAACCAAATGCAAAATGTTAAGGAGTACCCTGTTCACTTTTGGGTGTGAATCCCAGATTCTAAAGCAGGACTGAAACCACTTTCAGAGACGAAGCCTCAAATCACTTCTGACATCAGGAATTTGCCATCCAAGTCATTTAAGATTCAACAAAGAATGGAACAATCTCAAACCATTTTTAAACAATTGGGCCCACGTGATTATAAAGTTTCAAAAAGGACCTAGGAATTCAGAACTCTCAATTTCAGTGACATTTGATACTTTGGGAAATATTAATTACAATAGGATTTAAACACAAGTAAAAGCACCATGTTAATCTCTCTAGGCATTAGCTGGAGTTTGGTGCCCAGATGAGTTAAACATTTTTAAATTAAGAGATACCATAATTAAAAAAAAATAAATTAGGAAAGCACCACCACCAGATAGAGTGTAGCCAACAAATTATTACTTCACATTTCATTTTCTTGTCAGATCTGCAGCCATTACAACTGAAATCACATAACTCATTAAGCTATTACCAGTAACTATTAACACAGAAGTCAATTTTCCTTGACACATAGGAGTTCTAATGTTTAGCTACTATTAAAAAAATCCATATTAAAAAAGAAGTCAGAGCTCATGTCTTGAAAAACATTATATCCAGGTAATAATTCCAGGCTTTCTGCTCTCTTTCACTTATGTCAGTATTGAAGAACTAAGTTTTAAAATTTTCAGCATTTTAAGATCTGAAACAAAATTTTTTTTTCAATGTGTTCAATCACTATAAATTTTTCAACTATTTTAAGTCCTTCCCTTATTGCATACTACTACTGCACATGAGCATTTTTAAGAGCAATTTTTACATTTCTGGATATTTTCCCCTGCAGATTATAACAGTCTCAAGTGAGTGTTTCATTTTGCAAACACAGGACAAATTTCAAGGTTCCCTTCTTTGACAACAGTTTCAGGCACAGAGACAAACCAAACTCCTCAGGAGAAACCTCAAGCCTTACTTTGCATCAAATTCGCTCAGTGTAATTCCTAAGTATGAGTGCAATTTTTAAAATCTTTTTTTAAACATCTTCAAAGACCAGAGAAGTTCACCAAGATGATGTAAGCTTGGTTTCCTCTAAAAACTAGGTTATATCTGTTTTTACAGAACATCAGTATTCTTTCTTTGAAACTCCAAAAACATTACTGATTTCCCCACCAAAATGAAAAATAAAAAAGGAACAGCCTAAGTGCACTCACTGATAGAAGTACTTCAGATTTTAATTTTTTTTTAGTTACAAATCATTTAGTGTTAAAAGCTAAATCAGCATTTGCCACAATAAGTGAGACACCTCTCAAAATCCTTTAAGGGAACACATTCTGAAGCATCAGCCCTGTAAGCATTTGTCTGATGTTTAAACATTTATTTTCTTTCATAAATGGCAGCTGACAGCCAATGCAAGTGCCTGTCTGTATTGACAGAGTGAACAGACACATAGAAAATGCTGCTTTTCTTCCTTCTCAAAAGACATACATTTAATTTATGACTGTGACATCCAAAGCATGGACCAGACTACCCTCAAAATAAAAGCAGAACAGTTGAAACGATCAACAAAGAAAGAGCAAACACTATTTAATGATTATTTTAAAGCTAAGAAAAGCACAGAAAACACTGCTAAAGAAATTGTTTAACTCTGGGAGAAAGATGAAATTCTTAGGCAAAAATGAGAAAATAAAAGTACAAGTTGTTGAAAAGGAAGAAAGTCTTAAGAGTTCACAGGGATGTAAGATCATATTTGTGGCATGAAGAAAAACCTGGAGAGAGGCCACAAAGATAATACATGTAAATTGGTAAAGACAGTAGGACATGGCAAGAATTTTTGGAGAACAAGACAAGCTGGAGTAACCCCTCCTTCCAGATTTCCATAATGAAGAGACCTTCCACATCTGGAAGGCCCTTAGGTCCCACAAAAGAAGAAAGGAGGTGCACAGCTTTGAGCTAGATCCATAGATTATTGCATCTAGAAGGACTTTGGCCATATTTTCTCCCAGAGGAATGACTGGAAAGAATTCTACATGGGTATTTCCCTTATTTCTCACAAGAGCTTCCCCTCTGACTTATAATTACAGTAGAAAAAGATTAAGCTATTAGGAGAGATAGGAACTGATGAGATTTAGTGAAGACAACCACTGCAAATCAAGAAGAACAAATTGAGCTAATCACACACTTAAATCGAGGCAATTAACTGAGGAATTACTTCTGTTCACTAAAAAGAAACATTTCCTCATTACTCAGTAGAGACAAGAAACAAAGTGAGTTAAACTTTAAGAAAAGTAACCGGCAAGGTATTTACAGATTTGGCTTTCATGGCCTCATTTGGGATGCAGCAGCCAGGGCTCGTTAGCAGGCACAGCCCCAGCAGATGCTCAGGCTGCTATAGCTCCCAGATGTTTATCACTGCCACAGCTAATTACTTCCACAGCTCCTCCACCGAGCTCACACAACACGTGGATGGTTTCTGATGCTTTTTACACCGAGTCAGGCAGGCTGGTTCAGGCCTCTCCCCGCTGAAGGTGGCTGTGATGGAAAGCAGCTGACGTGGTCTGAAGGGGTTGTGGTGCTCTCCAATGAGCCCTGCTCTTGGCTGACCCACTCTGTGTGTCCATTCTCAGCTCACAGACCAGCTCCAACCAGCACACAGAGTGTTTGGGGGTCTGAGGGGAACCCAACAATATGTATGACTTCTGGATATCTTACCTTTCCAAATGCCAAGTATTCTCTGTGAAAGAAATCGAGAGCAGAGGGAAAAGCGTGTTTTTGTGTTATAGTCAAAGACTTACAAATGACAAAAATAACCTGAGGGTGAGTCTGCTGGTCTGCTTCACACAGAACTAACTCTCATTCTATTTATTTTGAAAGTAAAATGTGTAGAAAACCCAAGGAAAAGCTTAAGGTCATGTAACTGGAAGCTAATGCATGACCTGCAATCAGAAACTCCACTGATACCTGTGGTGAAAGGGAATTCATAAAAGATCATGGTCTACAAAGCAAAGGGGAAAAAAAAGAGAAGCCTTTCATAAAATGAGGTATGAAGGAAAATGTAAAGCAGAAAGGAAGCTAAATGAAGTGGGGTAATCATAATTAGAAATGTGGAGAGCTTGTGCAAGTTGAGTATGTAAGAGAAGAGATTAACTGTGAGCTGAAACACACACACCAAGTGATCACTTAATACTCATCACTCCACTCCTGGCTTGTTCCACTTACTCCTTCATAATTAAGGGCACAGGGACCACCCAGTAACGTTAACAGAAGGTACAAGTGAGCTGCTGGAGATCAGTGGTATCATTTTGAACATACACAAGCTACAACAGATGTTTGTAAGAGATATAAATAGTTACGCTTCAGGCTACGACCTAAGCACCGACCCTCTTAGGGCTGTGAAGGAACTGCCCAACAGACTTGTTAACAAGTAATCATTCCTTCTCATTTTCCTTCATACATGTTTCTTTGAAGTCCTTCAGAGAGAAATGCCTGACTGGCAGATTCAGCATGGCTTTTTGTTCATTCTTATTTAACTTCAGTCCTGGCACTTGCTATGCAACATTAGATGCTTACATTCACACAGCAAGTTAAAAAGAAACAAAAATCAATTCTCTTTGACACATGAAAAGCAACAAGAACTGGCTTCCTTTTCAACACGATGCAGGATGATATTTATTTCCAAGGCACGCTGTTTTCTAAAGAAGATAAAATATTGGCCATGAGAAAGCTGCTCACCCCTTTCCTTCAATGAGTTGAAGACATTATCTTGTTCCAGCACAGAGATCCCACTTATGTACAAGGTGGATGACAGAAACCTAAAAACCAACAGAGAAATAGTCAGAAGAAAATAACACCTTAGAACAAACATTCTAAGACTCAATATGATTTTTTTAAAAAATTGTTTTATTATGTGGTTCCCTCATCAAGTGTTAATGAACAGACAAGAATTTTTTTGCACATTTTGCAAATCTTTGCATTGTTAATAATCTCTAATCACACCCATTATCCCACACTTGAACTTCTTATCCCATTATTTGATCTTTCTCTCATCTTATTCCATTCATTCTCTACATTCACCTTTGTCTGTTGACACCTCTAACAGAAGGCTCCATTTGGATAATAACTCCCTCACTGTTAAATTTTCATATTTTACTCCTTGGCTCAGTGTCTGTCTGCCAAGACTAGACAAGACACATCCCAAAAATAAAACCATGAAATGCAAATAGGAGTAACTCACCACTGTTGTGAAAATTAAGCACAAAATCAAGAAAGGTGAGAGATATTTTTCCCCTATTTAAATCTCCTTCATCATCATTTGAATATAATCCATGGTAAAATCAAAGCGTGATGCTAGAAATTGGCCATGGTTAGGATCCTCTGTTCTGTGAGGACAGGTTCTGCTACAGGATTATCTGGCCATTAAAAAAAGTTTTCCAAAAATTACCACTTAAAATTACTTTAATTACATTTAATAGCACCCATTTGATACAGTGAAGCTACTTTTCAAAAGTAGTAAGGATTGTGAAAGCAAAGTAGCAAAGATTGTGAAAACATATTTAGAAAACACAACTGCTGAAAAGCATTAAAAAACCATCTCAGGAGAAGTTCCAGACACTGAGGTTGCACAGAGGCCACCAGAAATTAAATGATGGCTAAAACACAGCTGAGATCTTGAATCTGATTATCTCTGTTTCTCACACAGATAAAGTTCACAACAAGAACTAGAGAGAAAGTAACTCCAACATTTTTGAAAGCAAGATGAAATTGGTAATTGAATTGGTCTTTAAATAATTAAAATTTATGCATGTGTTGTTTTCCAAGAAGTGATGTTTTTCAGACAAGTTTACAGAAAAACAAAATGTGAAGGGCCACTCAATCTAGATGGCATCTCTGGTTCATGAAACCTGGTTCTAAACAGGGCAGGGAAGGTATGAGAGAAGTTTTAAGGCAATTTAAATTTCAGCCATTGGTTAGAGACTGAACACTGAGCAAGAAGGAGTTTCAGCCCAAAGTGATAGACCTGGTCCTGAAGGTTCAAGGAGCAGATGGCACATTAAAAGTTCTTACCACTTTTCCTTAAACTGTCCAAGATCTATGTCTTCAGAAAATGGGCTTCTCTCATTTTTGCAGCTTCTTAATTCTGTTCTGAGGACAGTGTAACCCTCTTATTCCCTTCCTCACGTGCCATGCATTCTGGTACTCATTCTCACTTCAATTTACTGGGCTACTTTCAAATAAAAGACTTCTCACTATTCATGGCATCTTCAGAACAGAGGTCACTGACAGATAAATCAGGATAGACAAATAGATGAATTATCCATTCCTTGTCTCTGCTCAGACATAAGGAGGACTGCTGCAAACCTGAAAATCCTGCTCCTGCATTCAGAAATAACTGCAGCCAAGAAATGGCTGGGCCACTGCCGCCAGATCTGGTCACACAATATTCAGAGTATGAAGAAGTAGCCTTTGCCTGCAAAGCCCTCAGCTGAAACTCTGGAAACAGCAAATTTCTGGACAGTTTATGAGATATCCAGGGCAGGAACAAAGAGGTGCTAAAGAAATGCAGGCCTGGGTGAAAGATGCTGTAGAGGGAAGGATGTGGCTGAGAAGAGCCAAAGGATGTTGCAGTGATATTGCCCATTTCAAAGAGACACTGGACAACATTTAACACTGCTGAACCCTAAAACATATCAGACAAGAGAGATCTGAGCTTGCAGATGATGATGCCTTGCACATTTCAGTGGGAAAAGGAAGAGGGAGCAGATACACCGTAACAGGGTAGAGACAACACCCAGGCACTGTGGAGTCTTCACCTGGACTTGCTATTGCCAATTTTTGTTTTCCTTTAATTCCTCTGGCAGACAAGCTTTAAAGTAATGCCATCATAATAAAAATACCTAAGTATGAAACCAAAACAAAGGGTATCTTGCTTTGTCTCTCAGAAAGTGAATCAGCACTGAGGTTTTAACTACAAAGTCAAATAGGAACTTGTTCATTCAAGCACTGAAGAGCCCTTGTTTGAGTCACCCTCTCATTCTGCATTTCAGATCACAGGATGCAGAGACCTGTGAGCACATTCACATGAACAAATATGAGCAGACATTAAGATCCATGTATTTTTATAGTTTCAAATGATGATAGTAATAATTGGTTCAAATAATGAAGCAGTAAGTAGAGCACACATGCCAACATCCAGGATTCATTCCACCTTTGCTGCAGTTCATTTCCATCTCCACTGACCTGCCCACGCAGAGTCATTCACAGAAATTAAGACAAACAAATCAATATGAATTTGATGCAGACAAGTTTATTAAAAATATGCTCAATGAGAATGTTCTCCTCATTTAGCACCAAGGTGGCTTCCATTTCCTCTGTCTCATGTACTTAAAAAGTACAGTCATTATTTAGAATATTATACTTTTAAGAAAGACAATGTTCCTGTTCAGGAACATAATACCAGCCTCAGGGAGTTCCATCACACAGATACAGCCACTCAGTTACTCTACAACAGCTATGCTGTCAATTGCCCTGGGAGTCAAGCCCTAAAAAGCCACAAAACCAATTTTGGGCTGCAGTAAAATGAGATTTATTTTGTGTCACTTTGTTCCCTTTATTGTTTGGTGGTGCAATAGAGTTATTTATATGTTAATCTTGATGAATATGAGATTACATTAAAAAAATGAATGCAAATTATACTTTAAGAAATGGAAAATTAAAAATCAATTAAAATCCACAGCTAAAGTTGAATTTCTGCAGAAATACAGGCTACACTCCAAGCTACCATCAACCTTTCTTTACATGTAGGATTTTGGACAGAGATGCTACAATAGTGACTTTATTCAGCAAGGCCTCTCCAACAGTGCATCCACTGCTTTGTTGTCCCATTAATCTTTCCTAGCATCCTCTTTTCATATCCCTCCATCTCAGATCTTAACAATCCATACAAAATATTCATACCACAGGCCACCTCCCAAGCACCACCACACATTGTCACACAGCATGACCCACAACAAACCACCTCATTGCAAGATTTGTGCTCCTTTAGCAACTCACTCTTGTTTAAACTCTGCTTTTGGTACATTTAATTCTATAAATTCTCCTATATGCAAGTAACAAATTAAAAAATATATATATATATAAAAAATGTGCCACTTTATGAGCTAAAATTGCATATGCTGTTAACTGATAAAATGAATATTAAGGATGCATATATCATAGGGATTTCTCCAGGCACAACAACAGAAATAAAACTGAGGGGATCTTGGAGTGAAGAACTCCAGCTCCTGATTGTGCACACATCCTTGGTGTGTACACCAGCATATTTCTAGGGAAAGGAGCAAAATCATGGCTCACATTCCTGATTGCATGTCATCACCAATTTACCACAGTCCTTCTTAACAAGGATGAGAAAGATGAGGAATTCTACCCAATCCAGTCATAAAATGATGTATGCCAGGTATCCTGCCCCCAGGCAGCTCTTGGAATTCTGGAAGGAAATCCTCAGGTTGCTCTCCTACCTTCTGCAAAATAGAATCCTCATTCTTCTGACTATGGAAAGATCCTCAAATTCAAGGAACTTCCTGCAGCATCTCATTTCTCCTACCCAATTCACACTGTAATTTGACCCTGCTTTATTAGCCCCATAAAGTAATAGTAAGGAATTTAGGGGACTAAACAGCAATTCTGGCAAGAGAAAAGCAAAACTTGGGGGAAAGGAAACCTCCCTCTTTAATTGTTCCGAGACTCTTGAGGGATTAGGGTATGAGGGAGCAAAAATATTTCCCATCACTCTCATCCACCATCAATATTCACATAATAAATGAAGATTCCTTTTTTTTTTCTGTATCCTTAACACTACACACAGAAGGACTTTATGGGTCCAGCATGAGAATCCTCACACTCACATCATGAATCCTCACACATATTTATTGTTACAGGACAGAGAAGGAGTTTTTGCCCTCAGTTTTTACCCAATGTGCTTTCAGAACATGTTGGACCCAAAAATCAGGAAGATGGTGTCACATCTGCCCTGCTGCTCTTGTGACAGGAGGGTGGCACTGGAAAGACTCCAAACACTCCTTACATCCCAGACCAAATTTCATTAAAAAAAGACAAAAACAACTCAATAAACAGAAAAAAAGGTGAGAACTCCATCAGCCTCACCATTTCTCTGGCATTCCCCCCATGGATAAACAGGGTTGCTTATACCCCAGACACAAATCCATCCCTCTGCCACCGAAGCCTTTGGAGTATCCACATGAGCACATCCCAAAATTCTTAATTTTGGAGACACTCATGCAACCATCTCCTTCCAGGCAAATTAATCCAAAGCAACAGGAAATCCTATTTTAATCATGATTTGCATCAGCACCCAATAAACTATGACTGAAATGAATCTTGTTTTGTGTTTATACTTTGTGGTTTCATAAGGAAGACACAGAATAACCACCAGCCTCTCTGCCTTTATTGCCATTGAATACTTTACAATGTGAGCAGTTTGTGTAAGCATATGTTATGTTTTCCAACCTTTTTATTATAAAACCATGAAAGTTTCCAATTATTCTATGAAGGGGTGAATTCCTGATGCTGTTGAAGTACAGTTGAAGAGTGAATAGGAGTTTTTATTTAAATAATAAATGAATTTAAAATGGACTTTGGATGTTGAATGGATAAGAAAATGCCCTCTACACATTTTTGGCATTTAAACAATTCATCAAGATCAAGATGTTCCCTTACCATTATTTAATTTTTATATCTTTAATGATTTCTGGAATAACAACCCCATTAATGAATCAAGCATTAACTTGGACCTGAA